TTAGGGAGATGATGGTGACGGCACAAATCGGTGACGGTGATGCCAATTAGGCTGCGTTTATACTTTGCGGCAGCGTAGCGTAGCGCTTCCAGCGTACGCCAGCGGCAGTGCCGGGGAGAGGATGCATATCGATCTAGCGTTCCCAGCGTCACCAGCGTAACGCTAGCGTACGCCAGCGTTTCTCCAGCGTTTCACCAGCGTTTTGCTAGCGTTTGCAGCGGCAGGGGAGTAGAGACTATGGGAGAGCTGGAGGGTACAAAACACATCGATTGCGCGTCTCTCACTCGCCCTCAGTCTCTACAATACACATCGATTCCGCGTCTCTTACGGCCACATAGTCTCTACTCCCCTGCCGCTGCAAACGCTAGCAAAACGCTGGTGAAACGCTGGAGAAACGCTGCGTACGAGCGTGACGCTGGTGACGCTGGGAACGCTAGATCGATATGCATCCTCTCCCCAGCACTGCCGCTGGCGTACGCTGGAAGCGCTACGCTACGCTGCCGCAAAGTACGCAGCCTTATATGTTGTCCTCATACGGTTTGGTTAATAGGATCCTTTCTATCAATGTTCTCTATTAAGTTCTCAGTTGTAATTTTTTTAGCTTCAGTTTTTATGTTTTCTAGCTTTTCTTAGATGTCAGTTAAGAAGCTTTTTGTTGTTTTCCTGACGTTGACCGTTTTGTTTGGCTGACGGTCATACAATAAACAATAAACGTCAAGTCATGGACTCGGATCACCGCCCTCCTCTTTCCCCTTCTTAACCGGCAGCGGGAGTCGGGGAGAAAAAGCGGCCTCAATCCCTGGCTCCGCCCACCTGGTAGTTACCTATGGTGTCTTCAGAAAACATTTGAAAAACAACAGGTAAAGTTTTGAAGCTGTTTTGTTATGATAACTGCTGTTTAACGCCGCAGTACGCGTTCCGAATGTTATCACAAGAATGCTGAGTTGTGGGCAAAAGTCGTGCCCCAGGCGGGAGTCGAACCCGCACCTCACGCTTTCCGGGCGAGTTACGCCACCAGGGCCGCTTTTACCCTCTCAGCTTAACGGCTTATGCCGTAACCTCACAGCACTCACACGTTTAACTTCGTGAG